GCAAATTGCTTTATACAATTGATATGTTTCTGAAGAGCTGCTTGGCTATTTGGGCTTAGTTGAATACAGTTGTAATTGATCAGTCCTAGCTGAGTTTGTTTTTCCACCACATGTCTGCTGCCTCCTCCCCGCAAAGGTCTTCCCCACTCTGTGGATTTCTTGGCTGGGCTGGACCACACTTACTTCAGCACTAAAAAGCCTGAGGGTACTTATCTCAAGCTACAAATAAAAGGTGCCTTCCGAATAATACACATCATGATGACACCCAAATCTGCTGCTCCAGTCCATCAAACTTTCCATCTGTCTGGGTTGTGTTCCTTTCTTGTCTTTTGTCAAAACAAATAAACAACTGTCACATTATTGTAATTCTAGATGCAAGTTTAGTGCATGTTTATTTACAAACCATTATTCCTACTTTTAAAAGGAATGCACGTACACTTAAAAATGGTTTAAAAAGGTCAATTTTATGTTATCTGTTTCACATCGAGTATAGAAAAAAACAATTACCTATAAGCCCAACACCTATGCACTGATAGTTTTTCTTCTATGTATATTTGTACATGTGTGCATGTGTATATGTGTGTGCATCCATATAAATATATATATACAATACTTGTAAATGGGGTGTTTTTGTGTTCCTATTGTATGTAAAAAGTACCCTGCTTTTTCCACTTATTATATAATGAATATTGCCTCAGGCCACCCAATATTGAGAACATCTGCTAAAACGAGCACCTGGGTGGCCTATATTTAATAGCAGATTTATTCTCAAAGTTCTGGAGGCTAGAAGTTTAATATCAAGATGTTTACAGGGCCATGCCCTTTTTCAAGGCTCCTGGGGAGGATCCTTACTATCTCTTCCAGCTTCTGGTAGCCCCCATAGTTCCTTGGTTTGTGGCAGTATCACTCCCATTTCTGCCTCCATCATGCCATAAATAACAATTTCTTGGGTTTTGACTATTTAGGCGATTTCTGATTCTTCAATATAACACTGCAATGAAACCCCTTGTATTGTTTTCACATTTAGGATGCTGCCTTTCGGCTGTATTCCTAGAGATTGACTTACAGTTCTCAAGATAAAAATAATTCCAAGGCACTCAATGAAGTTTGTGCCCTATAAAGGTTGTAAGTTTACATTTGCACCAGCAGTGAGTAATAGTGTGGTTCATATCTACGCTCATCAACAGTAATATCACTTTCTAAATCATCGTGAACCTAATAGCTGACAAACGCTATCACATTCTTTTAATTGGAATTTAATTGGTTATAAGCAAATTGCATATTTATCACAGATCAATTGGCCTTTTGTATTTTCGTTTTGTAAATTTTCTGCTTAATCCATTTTTCTAGGATATTCAGCTTTTTCTACTGATTGGTAAGAAGTCTTTATATGTTAAAGATATTGGTCCTTTGTCATACACTGCACATATTTTTTTTCTTAGTTTGACATTTGGCTTCTGATACTGTTTATGTATTGTTGTTGTACATATTTTTATGCAAGTATATTTATTACTACTTTTTTGTTTGCTTTTCTGTGTAAAAGGCCTATCCCATCCCACAATCATATGACTATTCGTTTATATAGTTCTTTAAATACTTTTTTGTTATAATTTTTACACTTAATACTTTAACATATTTAGAATATACCTGGGATATTATGTAAAGTAATCATCTGATTTAAAAAAAAATAGTTTGCCAGTTGTTTAAGGATATGTTAACCTAAAAATAAAAAGGCCTTTCAAAGTGAGTGGCAACAAGCATTTTAGATCAAAGAATAGCTATTCGAGATGCACTGATTCAGGCAGAAGCTCAAATAGTATTCTGATTAGGAGACAAAGGCAGTGGGCATTTATGAAAAAGGGAAAGGGAACAATTACATCAATAGAAGGAAGGCATTTCTATTGGTGCAGGTCACATAACATAATGATGTTAATTCTAAACAATTTTTAATTTTCAGTCCAATAGTCATCAGTCTTGTAGTCATAATACTGCTTTCTCATTATCTTTGCAGTTTTTGGGGGGCACAAGTTTTCTTAGGCCCAGTCCAAAGGTTATTTTGCCCTGTTCGAACATTCCAAGGCTTGAGGCATAAGACGTGCATGGCAGTACCTCTGGCATGGCAGCTCTGGCTCCATTTTTTTTAATTAACTTTATTGGGGTAATATTGGTTAATACAATTATATAATTTTCAGGTGTACATTATAATTTGACATCTGTATATTCTATTGTGTTTACCACCCAAAGTCCTGTTTCCTTCAGTTACCATGTATTTGATCCCCTTTACCCACTTCACCCTCCCCTCTCCCCTATATATATGACCTCCTTTACCCCGTCTACCTCTCCGCTCCTTCCCCACCGCCTATCCTCTGGTAACCACTAAGTCTATTGTCCATGTCTATGAGTCTCTGTTTGTCCTGTTCATTTGTTGCTTTTAGGTTTCTATCCCACATATAAGTGATATCATGTGATTTTTAACTTTTTCTGTCTGGCTTGTTTCGCTTAGCATGATTATATCGAGGTAGATCCATGATGTCACAAATGGCAATATTTCAGCCCTCTTCTTATGGCTGAGTAATATTCCATTGTATATATGTGCCACAGCTTCTTTAGCCAATCATCTATTGTAGGACACTTTGGTTGCTTCCATGTCATGGCCACCGTGAATAATGCTGCTATGAACATCAGTGTGCAAATATCTTTTCAGATATGGGTTTTCAAGTCTTTAGGGTAAATACCCAGAAGAGGATTGCTGGATCATATGGTAGATCAATTCTTAGTTTTTTGAGGAACCTCTATACTGTTTTCCATAGTGGCCGTACCAATTTGCAGTCCCACCAGCAGTGTACGTGGGTTCCTTTTTCGCTGCATCCTCTCCAGCATTTGTTATTACTTGTGCTGCTGACTACAGCTATTCTAACAGGTGTGAGATGGTATCTCATTGTGGTTTTGATTTGCATTTCCCTAATAGCTAGTAATGTTGAGCATCTTTTCAAATACTCGTTGGCCATTTGTATGTCCTCTAGGGAGAAGTGTCTGTTCAGGTCCTCTGCCCATTTTTTGATTGGATCATTTGTCTGGCTCCATTTTAAAGTGTCTCTGTTTATATTATTTTTGAAATAATCTTTTATTTCCCCACCACTTTGTGATGGAACTTTTACCATATCCTAGATGTTACATATTCTAAGGTCTATCTTGGGGCTGCGTATCCTGTTCTGTTGATCTGTCAGTCTGTACTTTTGCCAGTACCACACTATTTCAATTCCTCTAGCTCTGTAATACATCTTAATATGTGGCAGGGTATCTCTCTCCTCATTGCTCTTCTTTTCAACATTTCCTTGATTATTCTCATTTTTTCTCCTGATGAACTTTAGAATTACCTTGTGATTATGACTGGAATTATATTAAACCTATAAACTTGGAAAAATTCATGTAAAATATTCTGCCTTTTATTCAGGAATGCTATATATCTTAGTTTCATCTTTCTTTAGATTGAACCATATGAAATTGCCAATATTCTACCTTTTCGACATAACAGTAATTTCATGTGGTTCAACCATTAGAAAACTTGATTTCTTCATATGGTAATTATGCTTTTTCTAAAAAAAATAAATAAAAGAGTTTCTAAGGGAAAAAAAAAGCCAGGGAGAGGTTTAGTGGCAGGGAGGTATGACATACTATAAACTTTTTATTCATTTTTTAAAATCCTGGTCCTAAGAATTTCTCTTACTATCAGGAGTGAGATAGGCTCTTGCTGGTTGATCATCAGAAGATGAATGAACAAAGGCTACTTATAACACTGGATTCCGTGCTTTGAGGATCATTTTTTGAAATAGTAGAGCCAGAGGCATCCCTCCAAGCACTTTATGCCACCTCTTATAATTTAGTGTTCCTTATGCATAGTTCAAGGTTTGGTGAGCTCAGCTTCCTCCCCATAGTGAGCCTACCCAAAACCAGAGCCTTGAGCCTGGGGGTTGGGGTAGTCGGTGAAAAAGGATAAAATTCTGGGACCAGTTCAACATATGGTTTTTTACCCCCACACCAAGCAATTCTCCAACACTAGCTGGGTGTCCTACAACTTACTTCTGACACTATCTACCAGAAGATAGCATCAGATCCCACAGGGCTCAGTTCCACAGGACTGCCCACCCCATTCAGAAGCC